CTTGTCGTTTTGCGAGGCTACCCCTCTTTTGTGCTTTGAAAGGGAAGCCAAACAGGAAAAAAACGAAATCCATTTGGTGGCTCCCCTGAAAAAGACCCCGGCCCCTGTGTCGGGTTTGTCGGCCGAGGAGGTGTTCTTGGAAGACTACTGTCCTTTTCGGGAAGCCCGAACGCGTCCACTTCCATGATTGGTGCTACACAAATGAACGTTTTCATTTGTCTAGCTGTTTCTCAAACGTATTTCTTCAAATGGAACCAAAAAAGGCTTTATCCAGGCTTTATCCATCCTCTTTTTATGGATATCCAGGCTTTATGGGTATTGTGGTTTTTTGACTTTATCCAGGCCTTCAGTCCTGGGAAGGTTCGGCCAGTACCCTGGGTCATTTTTGGGCCCAGGACGCAGGGGGCTCACTAGATGTTCAAAACCAGGGAGACTTGGCTCGAGTTTGTCTTTGTCCATTGCGGCGGCATACTTTGTCGTGGCATCAGAAGGAAACACACTGGGTGGCTCAAGTTTCGGCAGCTCCCTGTTTCTTCAATTTGCTTGGGTTCTTTAAGTATCAAACAACCAGCGGAAGTTGTTCTTGTGCGCTGGCCAGAATCGGCTGTGTGAGATTGTGTTTTGCACCTTGGCTTTCACTGGACTGCACCTTTCCTGGGGTGCAGCAAGGAGACTAATATGTGGACAAGATCGTAATCGGTTTAAAAGAGGCAAGCAACTAATTTCCACTGCTTTGTCTCCAGTCATGTTGCCCCCCTGCGAGGTGTTTTTGACGAACACCCCTCCTTTTCAGCGCTCATTTAGGGCCCGACTGTCCAGTTGGTTTCCTTTCGTCCATGGTGACTTGCCAAGGAACAGGGGATGACCTTTTGGTTTGTTCGTTTTCGGCAATCTGCACGGGGAATCGGCGCTGCAGAAATGCGCCTTGGCATTTCGTGCTACCATCTTATTCTTGGTTTCGATTCGATAAACTGCCGGCGCAACACGCACACGCACACGCACACGCACACGCACACGCACACGCACACGCACACGCACACGCACACGCACACGCACACGCACACGCACACGCACACGCACACGCACACGCACACCCCCCCACACACACACACAAACACAAACATAAACAACACAAAAACAACACACAACAACAACAACAACAACAACAACAACAACAACAACAACAACAACAACAACAACAACAACAACAACAACAACAACAACAACAACAACAACAACAACAACAACAACAACAACAACAACAACAACAACAACAACAACAACAACAACAACAACAACAACAACAACAACAACAACAACAACAACAACAACAACAACAACAACAACAACAACAACAACAACAACAGCAACAGCAACAAACAGCAACAGCAACAGCAACAGCAACAGCAACAGCAACAGCAACAGCACAACAACAACAACAACAACAACAACAACAACAACAACAACAACAACAACAACAACAACAACAACAACAACAACAACAACAACAACAGCAACAGCAACAGCAACAGCAACAGCAACAGCAACAGCAACAGCAACAGCAACAGCAACAGCAACAGCAACAGCAACAGCAACAGCAACAGCAACAGCAACAGCAGCAACAGCAACAGCAACAGCAACAGCAACAGCAACAGCAACAGCAACAGCAACAGCAACAGCAACAGCAACAGCAACAGCAACAGCAACAGCAACAGCACAACAACAACAACAACAACAACAACAACAACAACAACAACAACAACAAGCAGCAGCAGCAGCAGCAGCAGCAGCAGCAGCAGCAGCAATAACACCACCAACACCAACACCAACACCAACACCAACACCAACACCAACACCAACACCAACACCAACACCAACACCACACCATCACCAACACCAACACCAACACCAACATCAACACAAACACAAACACAAACACAAACACAAAACACAAAACACAAAACACAAAACACAAAACACAAAACACACACACACACACCACACACACACACACCACACACACACACACACGCGCGCGCGCGCGCAGACACGACCCCCAGCTGGTGGCACTAAAGGCCAACTTGGTCACGCCCCAGAAAGGGCGAGCCATGGTTTGTCAACCTGGCACATGGGTATGTTGTTTGTTGAAAGCCATCCTTCTTGATGTTGGAGCCTTGGGAAGACTCTGTTTTGGGGTGTTACGCACTTCCTTTTTGCAGACACACCTGGGTTGGACAAAACTTGTTTGACCGACCATGGCCCACCGCTAAATGGAAAACAAAGGGAGGTTGTTTATGCAAGAATTCAGCTTCCCACTAAGTTGGTGGAGCCCGGTGCTTCGGAGGTCGGGTGGTTTCCAGGGCTTCAAGTCCAACTCCAAACCACCAGTCCAACCCACCAGTCACTTGGTACTTGACATCATCAGGGTTTCCGAGCCATGTCCCTTTTTGGAAGCTAAGGTGGCGAAGGTTTCAATGGAAGCCGCCAGTAAAACGATCAACTTTTAGTTAGGGGATATCTGAAAAGGTTTCAATCAAGGCTGATCTGGATGGTTTGAGCATGTTAAAGCAAGTTCGCCCAACCTTTGCAGGATGCTATGCGTGAAGGGACGCTCCGTGAAGCACGGACCTCAGCTCCGGAAAGAGGATTTTCAGCGCAGATTCCACCTGTGTTGTCTTTTTTTTGGCAAGGGTTTCTGGGTGTCCCTTCAGAATCAGCCAAAAACAACGGGTTGCCGTATGGGAACATTGAGGGTTCTATAAGCCAGGGATCGTTGCCCGTAAACTCCCCAGTTGCCCCGTTTTGGTTTCCGTTGATATCAAGCAGCCCAAAAACGGGTGGCATGCTTTCTAATGGCCACTGGGCTTTTGCGACGCCGACTAGCCCTCGTATCCGATCGCGAGGATTCCCGAAGACTTCCCGGTATCGGAGCCAACGTTGACCTCCGGGAAGCAAGACAATTGGCTCCTGAGAATCGAAGACGATAAGTTGACAACCCTAAGATCCCCGTCAACGATGTTGTTGATAAGCTGAGGGTCTTTGGAGGGGTGGTAGGGTCCCCTGGAATGTGACATGATTTGACACAGTGCTTGAAGAAGCTAATGATCATAATCATCGGTGGAAACGTGATCAGGTTCGTAGATGGCAGCAGCTACGAGCTCAAGGAGCTTTCCCCTGGCCGGGGGGCCCGAGGGACTTGCCGGCCCAACAGCAAATTCCCGAATCCAAACAGAGTTCTCATTTTTGGTTTGCATGACAACGAAGAGTTCTTTGCTTTTCCCCCCAAGGGGTTGGAAACATAGGTGTCCTTTTCAGGTGAGTTTCCTTCCATACCAATCTAAAAGAAAGTATTTGACTCCCGTGCCCAACTTCCTGCTCACGCGGCTCGTGCTTCTAACCTCTTGATTTGCGCCTTTCTTGGGCGGAATTTCTAGGGTGCCGTGCTTTCCATTGGAGGTCTGAGTGTGTTGCTTGTTCTTCGACGGATATCCCCCGGCTTACAGACATACAACCCATTACAACCCGAAATAAGGCTTCCATTGCTTTTTTGTTTTTCCCCCCTGTGGGAATCTATCACTACTGGAAGTATGTGCTTTTTAGGGGACTTAAGCAAATGGATGAAGCCTCTTAACAGGAACATTGTTCGTTCATAGTCTTCGCTGCCTCCCGACAGTCCATGGATTTATGACACAGCCGGGTTGTGTACACCACTGGCAAACCTGTCTTTTGAACCTTTCAAGCAAGCATATCATCATCACCAGCCAGCAGGATGGTGCTTTTGATATGATTTCCTTCTTGGAGCAAGGTCAGAGCAAACTGATCTTCGAGGTAGCCTTCCACAGGTGCTTCATTTCTGGGCGGACAAGTAGCGTGTTTTATCAAAACACTTGATGGAGTCGCGCATCCCCATGTGCACCAGTGGCATGCTTTCGGCCCAACAGCTTTGGCTCAGCGCGAGCACATCACTCAGTTTTTCACGCGCGCGAGAGATGGCTCGAGAGCCCGAGTCGGGATGTGCACTAAGAGGAATGGACGAGGAAACCAAGGTTTGCGAAGCCTTCAAACGATTTAAAGGGAGGCTCTGAACGATTCCGACGATGTGGTCCCGAAAAGTCTCACGTCTGGCAAATATCGAGCATGTTAGTATGGCCCATCCCTCGGGACGAGCTGAGTTCTTGTAAGAACAGATGCTTCAGTCACGTGTTGCACCCACATCTCGAGCCAACTGCATGAAACAAAACCCCAACGTTGCAAGGCAGGTGGCATGTCTAACCACACCTCATCCCCAGGTCAACCAATATAAAGACGAGCTGCCTCAACATCCATGCGCGTCTGTCCGGCCATCTGCCACCAGACCCGCCCGCGCCCTGCACGCCTCGCGCTGGGCGCGTCTGCGTCAGCGGCAACGCGGCGCAGCTGGTTGCTGCGGCCCGCGCGCACGGCCTCCGTGCTGCCTTGGCTGGTTTCTTGGTAGCAGCCAAACAATTCTACTAGTACATGCTTTGAAGTGAAAGATCCTTCCTAGTTGAATCCTCTGGTTGTTTGGTGCTGCTTCTAGTCTTGTTTAAGCTTAAGACTGCACGCCAGTACTCGTCTTGGCCATTTAGATGCTTAGTTACCACAAGTTTGGCTTAGAAGCAGCAACATTGGTTCCGCTCAGCCAAAGCATCACCGCCTAATTCCATGAGCGCCGAGTATTCACCAGAAGTAGCCACAGATTCGTGGACAGACGCAACACCCCTCCCCCCCCCCCCTTGCGCAGGCGGCGGTGGGAATGGCGCGCGCAGCAGGGCGCCGTGTGGATTCGCACCTGCACCTTTGGACGCCGGAAGAGGCTGCATCGATCCGTCTGCATGCAGCATGGGTGATACTGTGGATGGACGGAATCAATTTCGCACCACTTTGAGACCATGGGAATCAATTATTTGTTGGTATTTACAGGGGAATCACCATCCCAAGCTTTGTTGGGTGGTGCAGGATTTCGTTCATCCACAGTAGCTGCTTGCTCTTTTGCAAGGTTGCCTCTTCGTGTTTCATTGGCTTGATGGCTTGTGGATTGCTTGGCACCTTTTCATGTCGAAGTGACATGAAGGAGGTATACCAAGGAGTGTCCCATTTCAATCTGCAAGCTCACCGCGTGGATTTGTCCGCTTGCCAGCTCTTGATCGCCCGCGTTCTTGCCTGCTTGTTTGCTTGCTTGCATGCTGGCTTGATTGCTTGCTGGCTGGCTTGATTGCTTGATGATCAACCCAGTTGAGGAGTTTCGAACCCTTTCTCTTTTTCCAGGTAGCTGGGTTCGTGAGTTCCCTTATGAGCGTGGCTGTGGACTACTTGCCAAATGGCCATGAGTCAAACTCCCGTACCCCCAGTGAACATCCCAATCCCCGACTACAATGACTAAAATGGTTGGCGCACTTCGCCCAAAATGGTACCAAAACGATTTTGACCCAACCCCAAATCAAATCTGAGCAGCCCAGATGCGGGTCTCCGTAACGGATCGGCACCTCGGATACGGCCAGGCCTTCCCCGCAGACCCGCCGCCGCCGGCGCATTTGAACGATGGCAGGGCCACCCACGAGAACTCCGTTGCAATGAGGGGCACCCGGTGTTCGCCGTTTGTTTGTTTGTTTGTTTGTTTTTGTTTTTGTTTTTGGGGGGAAAGGATTCCGTCCCTTCAAAACCAATCAACCAACCGTTCTTGTGGGGGAATGGCTTTTTCCTTTAGGATCTTTAAAATAAGAAACCATTATCGTTTTTTTCTTTTTTTTTCTCCGGGGGGGGGCGGGGAAGGTTTTTCCCTTTAGACTCCACCAACCATTATTTGTTTGGGGGGGGACGCTGAAGTGTTGCCTTTTTTCTCATTGAAATCCACGCTTCCGAGGAACTTTGTGAAGCTCATGGACGAGAACGGCGTTCAGAAAGCCGCGCTTTGGCGATCAAGCAAGTGAGTTTGGCACCGACCGCAAGGGCGTTTTTCAGATTTCTGTCCAGGCAACCATGTGATCTTCCATTTGTTTAAGATTTGCTTTGTTATTTTCCCCGGTAGGTTTTCAAGGGCATCTATCGCGACTGGAAAGATGTTTCATTTTTTCCTGGACACTTAAGCAAATGGAGGTTATGGGTTTGTTGTTTGAAGGCTTTTTAACAGGAAAGCCAAGGAACACTCCCCAATTGTGGGGGTTCCCACTCCTTCCTTGAATCCCCTCGACGGTTCAAGCGCCTTCTTAAGTTTTGGCACCGTAGACCAAGGCTGGGGGCGTTTGGGGGCTAAAAAGACACAAAGGGCCACTGAATGATCTATGTTGTTGAGCAGGGCTGTGGGAAATGACCACCTCTGTAATACAACAAAAAGGGCTTCCCAAAGACTAACGCCCCAAAAAGGGGGGAGATTCCCTTGTATCACAGAAGTGGGGATAAACCCCTTGATCCCACAACCCTGTTGAGCGAGTGCTTAAAAGCCCATTGAAACTTTCTCTCAAAGAAACCTCAAGACGGACAACTCTTGAAGCCCCATCCAGGAGGAACACACAAGGGGGGATTTTTGATGAGCAACTATCAACATTACTGGTCTATTGTTAGTTTGGGGAGGACCTTACCCACAGGTTCCACAAAAACCGGGTCCCACGCAAGTTGCACCTGCCCTCTTGAAATCAAGTAGTTGTTTGTTCCCCCCGAGGTGTTGTTTCGTTTCCGCAGGCTTTGCTGCGGCTCGGCTCAGGTGGTAGTTCAGCCCATCAACTATGGCCAGGACTTACCGTGGAGTGGCAAAATCCACTTCACTGGGGATGAACCACGCCAGGTTAAAAAAAAGAACGTTTCGCTGGTGCAGAATTTGGTCCTGTGGGTCCATGTGGTCGTCCTAGGCTGCTGGTGCTTGACGAGTGATGACTGCAAACCCGAAATGGAAACGATCGAGTGGACCTGCAGAAACATGGGCACAAATGGCGAGAGACATCTCTGGGTGGACAAAGCTTGCCTTTCGCCGCGAAAACAGTCCCGGCCTCGCATCCTAGTTGACCCCCTCCCCATGCTTTTGACACATTGTTCTTTGGAGAAGCTACACAGATTGGTTTTGTTTCCATTTTCCGAAAGGAAGGATTCTGGAAAGAAATGGGCGAAGCACAATTACTGTTGACCCTGGATCCATCAACCTTGCAGATGAATAGGGGGTGGGTGGGGTATTCCCTCCAAATTGAAGGATTTCCTCTAAGATGAGAGACTACTGGGTTCCGATTGCCCTTGAAGCTTTTGATTGGTTTGGATGCATCATGGATTGGATTTGTTTGGCTTGGATTGGATTGATTGGGTCGCAGACCACTTCTGGCGCCCTGCCAGGACTACTCCTACCTGCTGGCAGCCATGGCGAAGCATCCCGAACGCTTGCTCGGCGTTTTCGTGGCGGATCCCACGGCTGCAGATGCCAGCTGGATGGACAAAATCGCCGCGCGGCGTGAAAGAACTGCCAAAGCGGTGAGGCCTCGTTTAAACATGTTCAAACACGTACCCCCGTGGTTCAACTCCCATTAAAAGAATGATTGACCCAATTTAGATAATGACAATCCTTAGGTGAACAATTGTGGTTATATGAACCCCCGTTGTTTTTATGGTGGTTTGAACCCCAGGGATACTGTTTTTAAACAAACCTTCTTTTGGCTCTCATGTATAGTACAGAGTACAAGAGGCTGGTTGTTGAAAGCAATCTTGCCCGGTTACTCCGACAGGCCAGCATCAATTTACTGATTTAGGAGGCCAGGTCAGCTCGCTGGTGTGGGATAAATGGGCGGACCGTCCCCTGACGGTCCGCTTCCTTGCAGATCCCTGGATTCAGGTGGAAGCATGACATTTGGCAAATGATTGTGGCCTACCGTGATGCAGAGCTGAGAGTCTTTGAAGGTTCCTTAGTTCAGGAAGTGGGTTCTTGAAATGTGTAAAAAAATCAGAAGGCAGCAGATTAGGCTGATTGTATAGACATTTAGATGGTTTCCGCAAGAATGGGACGACCTTGCTTCAGGCCAAATGCTTCATGTGAGCACACAATTTCAGCTGTGGGCATTTGTTCACTCACCTCATTGTTCAGTCTGGATCATTATTTTCACAATGTTACGTTGTTGCGTTTTCTGTTCGCACCACTGCAATGCATCCACAACTGGTGTGTTGAGAAGAGGGATCTTGATGAT